AGACGCCAGTTTTATTTCTGCAGATTTTTTGCTGTCGATATGAAGTGATCCCACTCCTCCTTTTCCTTCCCATCAGCTGCAGTTTTTATTGGATCCTGCCGTGAGATGAATTGGTTCCTTATACCATCCGAAAACAAGCCCAGTGGAACAAATGAGTTGTCTTCTTCTGGGTTAAGACGTTGAATCAACTCTGTGAGGGGCCTGACCTGCCAGAGCTGTTGAAAAGGAATGAAAAGGACTTTACAGCTGGGCAGGAGAATGGACCCGTCAGCTCAGCTTAGACGCAACATGTAACTTTGTCCTTTGCAAGTGGGACTCCAGAAACACTCAGGAGGGCATTTCCCTCTTAGGTCCAACTCACAGGAGTGCAAGGAAAGCCCTGGGGGACGGGAGCCCCGCCACAGGAGTCACTGAAACTATAGCCTGAGCTGAACATGAGCTGACTGCTCCGGAGGAGGCACACTGGACGCCCTTTGACTTTTCCAACCATGGCTTTGCTTAGCTTGTCATTTCAAGTTTCCTCCCTCCCCAGGAGCCTTGTGACAGGAGCCTGGAAAATCTTTCTCCAGGAGGATAAGCAGTTCCCTCAAGCTCAGCTTTCCAATCCAAATATTTGCAAGCACTGCTACAGACATGAAAAGCGGATGCTGCTACATCAAACAGCTGCTTTATTAAACTGTTTTCTCTTCATCAAGTGATGCATAGACGTGTTTTCGTTGCTTCAGTGTTCCTGAAGGACGTGAAAAATAATCTGGAATGTGAAAAATAAAACTAGAGCTACAGAATTGCTTACAGGGTGCTCTAGCTGCCAGGTTCACAGAGCTGGATCCTAGGCTGGACGGGTCTCCTCCAGCCTCACGCTCTGAGTAGTGTTGTTCATTAACTAGGCTGAAATTCTGCCCATGTAGAAATTTGTGTGTGCTTCTCCTCTTGGGCAAAATAAACCAGCCCCTCCTTGTTACTGTAGAGACATAAACAGAGCTCTGGGGTATCCAAGACCTAAATGGCAAAGGTGGTCTCCGAAAAGGGTGTCCTAGCCCAAGAAGAGATTTCGGTCCCAACCACAGAGGTGTGAGGGAACAGGAAATGGGTTGAGGACATCTCAGTGTCACACGTGGGTGGGATGATGGCACCCAGGGCTCCTCAACCACTCCTTTACCTATCCTGTAATCACCAGGAATAGACAGGTCTCCTGGAGCAGTCGGAGCTGGAGATGGGGTGGAAGTTTTCCCCACACTCCCGGTCCCAGTGCAGGAGAGTGTTCACAGGGATCATCTTTGCTCCTGGCCGGGGGGATGGATGAACTCTGGCTGTGCTGGTAAGTCTTTCTTCTGTTCTGTGTTCTGATTTTACGCTGGTTTATGCTGGCTCGTCTCTCCTCTCTGTCTGTCATTCTCCGATCTGTCCTGCACCCCTTCCCACAGACCCTTGACTGATCTTTCTTTGTATCTCCCATTAGGCTCCTATCCCTGTGCAGAACCTAAAAGCGGATGTGTGTTTAAAATGACCAAGACAGAAAATACCAAACACGTCTCCACAACCTGCTGACGGTTTCCTTTGCAGAACACCTGACTCACCCGCCGACGTTTGGGCAAAGATATGCACCTTGGTGTGTTTCCTACCGGCCTTGGCTCAGGGATCTGCATCCCGAGCCATGTCCCCAGGCACCAGCAGTGTCCTCTGGTCACAGAGCTGCCCCGCAGCAGGCAGGAGGTGGCAGCATTGCCTAGCCCAGGAGATGCTGCTCTCCTGCATACCCATGCGTGGTGTGTTCATTGGCCAAGGGCTGCAGACCTGTTTTTCCAGCTCCTCCAAGGATACGTGACTCAAGCTCAAAGCTTCCACACTGCCTAAATCCCAACCAGGTGGACCATTAACAACCAAACCCCCGAGGGCTCTGAGTGCCTACCAGTCCTAAGCTGTTTGCACATCACGATCAACAGTAATGTGAGGGCATGTGAGGACAAAAAGGCTTTGTGTCTAGAGTCTTTGTATGCATCTCAGCTCCTCCTTGCAGGATCCACCTTCACTTTGAGTGACATGAGTGCAGATGTGCTTACTTGCACAAATGCTGCTTTACAGCACGGAGGTAGGAATGAGATGGAGGTTAACTTGCTTTTTGACTATCTCAAAGGTACTCAAAGATTCTGGGGTAGACCTAGCTCAGTCTGGGGTGTCCAGGTGTCCAATGGGGTCCATTTGAAATTCATTAGAGATGTGGAGGGGCCTGAGGCCTATAGGAAAACCTTGAATATGAATTCCCTTAAAAAAAAAAAAAAACAGGGAAATTGGAGGTGAAATTCACAGCTCGGGGCATTTGCTCACTGCCAATTCCCTGCCTCTTCATTTCTCCTTGTCTTTTACTATGGAGTCTGAAGTCATCTTGTAGCTAACAAGGCCCACCACAGGGAAATCACAGACTTCCCCCTCTATGTAACAGCCACATGAAAAGAAGCCAGGATTTTTTACACTTTTGCAGACAGGAAACAGTTTGTGCTATAATAACTTTACCAAGCTAGAGAGCAACATGGTGAGGGCGATAATAGCCTTTATCACCACGTAGATGCTGTCCTGCTAAGAAGACTCCTCTACTTTTATATGAAAGATTTTCTACTGACACAGCAGTGTCCTACCTGGACCTCACATTTCCCCAAAGCAGTTAAACATCTAACCAAACCAGTGCATAGACCAGACACTAAAACCAAACTTTTCATCATTGCCATGGCTTTGGGTGTAGCAGGTGACCTGGAAAGCAGCTTCTCTGACTACCCCTACTAAAAGTAGACATCCTGAGGTGGCATCTGCTGCGGGCTTCCCTTCCCCATACATGAGCTTCATTCCTGTAGGTGCTTGCTTTCTCTTGAGGACTGAATCATTTCCCAAGTGTAGGCTTGCACAGCAGAAGAAGCTGCTCTGACAGTGAGTGATGATGAGTCACTGGGAATTCACAGTTTTGTGTTCCTCCGAAGAAAAAAAAAAAAAACTTGCAGCGTGAGGACAAAAGAGGAAAGATCAGTTTTATTGGGCAGCAAGAAACACGGGCTCTGGAACAGAAGTTGCTGAATCAAAGCAAGTTTTTTAAGAGGAGCAGGGTGTAACTGGCATGTAAAAGTGGGGATGTCAGGCTGAGGAGCTGTGGACATCTCAGGCACTCTGCCTGTGGTGCTGTATGGTCCTAATGAGGAGGGGCTCGAGCCTCCTTAAACTCCTCGAAAATCCACATCTGGCTTGGAAAACTCCCAGGAGAACTGTGTGAGGCCTGTGCAGGATTTCCAGCACCGCACATGGCAAACCAAGGCTGAAGGTTAGAGGGATAAATCAAACCCTGTCAGACCGAGCAGGGAAGGATCATGAAGCAGATGTTGTGTATCCACAAAAGCAAGGGGAAACTCCACCGAGCCCTCAGCCCATCGCACCGTGCTGCTGTGTTGCAGACAGCGCAGGGCCTCGGAGCAGCAGGACAAGAAAGAAACACGTGATTGTGGATTCATTTTTATAGGGAAAGAAAAAAAATATAAAAATGAAAACTGTAGGTAGTTGGGGGGGTGTTTTTGGATTTGATTTGAACCTGGGACACTGTCAGCTGGGCATGGTGCTCAAATCCCATTTGAGCCTTATAAAAAGTGACATAAGACAGGTGTCATTTTGGTGGCTTTGACCTCAGAACATGACTTAATGTCTCTAATGCCCACGTGGGCACGTTAGGGAGACAACAACACTTGCAGTTCTGCTCCAAAGAGGCTCCGGGAGAGATAAAACCACTCAGGAAATGACCCGTTTCGGCCACATGACAGTCGTAGCTCCCTGAGTTCAATAGGAAAGGGACGGTTTATGCAGACTCCTGAATACAGGTCCTGAAACTCCCCCTGCAATTCCCAGGTGTGGGCTGCCCGACTCCAGACCGATCACAGTGAAGGAGAGAGGGTCCAGCAGAGCCCGCGGGAGGGAGCAAAGGGCTGGGAGGCCCTTGGCGGGTGGCTCGAGAGGACTCTGCCCGAGCAGGTTAGCAAGGAGACACCGGGGACTGATGTCATCAGAATCCCCGGGGAACAATGGAGCGGACAGAGCCAAGCCGGGCATGATCCTGTTGCCGTGCAGCGACATTCAGGGAGACATTTAGACAACAGCTGAGGCGCCAGACAAGGGAAACGCCACTTCTTTAAGCACTGGGACGGTGCCTTGTGGATGAGAAGCCCCCTCTGGTTCCCTTGGCCCCCTCTGTGTTTCCGTGTGGCCTCGCAGCCCTGCAGGGGCAGCAGGGCGGGACTCAGGATGGTGCCCTAGCCATGCAGGGGGGACTAGGCTGGGACCAGCCCGTCCTGCGGGCCTCAGGCCGCGGCTGAGGGGGCCGCCAGCCTGCGTAGGCCCCATTAGGGAGACGTCCCCTTTAAGAACGAAGTGCGGGCACGTCTTCCTTTCCCCTTTCTCTTCCGCCCTCACTCGGGACGGCGCCGCGCGCATGCGCGCGCTCGGAACGCGCCGAGCGGCAGCGCCGCGTCCGGGGGGCGGGTGCTAGAGCGACGCGGGCCGTTGGCGTCGAGGAGGGGCGCCCTGCGCGCATGCGCAGCCGGCAGCCTCGCCCTCGCTCCGCGGCGCCGCGCGCAGGCGTGCTGAGGCACGGAGGCGGTTGCCCCGCGAGCATGCGCAGTGGCCGCCCCCGCCCCGCTCCCAGCGTGCCCTGCGCGGTGAAGAAGCGGCCGCTCCAGGCTGGGGGCATTTTGTGTCCGCGGTAGCAGCGGCTGAGAGACAAGATGGCGGCGGCGGCCGAGTGAGGGACCGGCGGCGGCCGGGACCCGGCGGAGCCAGCGGGTTTCGCGCTTTCCCCTCCCCTCTCCCGGCAGCCGCCCCGCGGCCACCTCGCGCCTTTTTTTTTTTAATTTATTTTTATTTTTTTATTATTGTTATTTTTTGCCTGGAGCTCGTCCGAAGCCCAGCGCCTCCGGACAGGGAGCGGGGCCGAGCCGCGGAGGGGGGGCGCCCGCCGGAGGGGCCCGTCCGGAGCTGAGCGGCGGGGAGCAGCCCTTCTTTGTCTGCCCCCGTTTCCTGCCGTGCTCCGGGCGGCGGTAGAGCCCTCTTTCCTGCCGAGCCCCTCCGCTCCGGGAGGGCCCCTCAGCCGCCCCTCGCCATGGCGAGCAGCAGCGGCTCCAAGGCCGAGTTCATTGTCGGGGGCAAGTACAAGCTGGTGCGGAAGATCGGCTCGGGCTCCTTCGGCGACATCTATCTGGCCATCAACATCACGAACGGGGAGGTAAGGGCGGCGCTCTGCCCGGCTGCCCCGGGGGGCCGTCGGCGCGGGCCCCTCCGGCCCGCGGGGGGAACCGCAGGCACCGGCGATCGCCTCCCTCCAGGGCGCACAAGGAGCCGCGTTTCCTGCTCCTTCCCCCGTCTGTGGGCCAGCCCGGCTCGCTGGGGTGGGGGACAGGGCCCGCACTGCATGGACGGCTCTGCTCCTTCCCGCAGAGCCCTGCTCTTCCCCGCCCGGCGCCCGCTTAGCTCCAGGCGCTGGAACAGACCACTGTTGTGCGGGGAAAAGCACTTTTGTCTCTCATCAGCGGCCAGAGAACTCCCCCTGGCCCCCTCTTCCTGCTGGAGATCACTTGAGCTCATGTTCGTCAACAGTAATGGTGAAAAACAAAGAAGATCCCCTTGCAGCTCTTGTCTCTCTTCTTTTTTTTTTTTTTTTTCTTTCCTCCCCCTCACTGCTCTGAGCTGTAAAGAAGAAACACCCACATATGTTCTTCTCGCTTGTGTGGATCTGAAGACTTAACATCTCTAGATTAATTTCATTACCCGAGGTGGATATTTATGTGCGAATCATCACAGTATGGAATTTATTGGAAGACCCAGCAAAACTTGGGATGTTGAGCACCAGCTGAGAGCTTTGAAAAAAAAAAAATGTATCCCTGAAAGCAGTCGGTGTAACCCTGAAAGTGGCAGGGTTGTGTGAGGAATGTTGAAGTTCTGTCCCCCTTAAAGCTCAGTGGCAAGTTGGTGCTTGGTGGACGCTCTGCTCTGATTCCTTGTTCCCTCTCGCTGTAGGAAGTTGCTGTGAAGTTGGAGTCTCAGAAGGCAAGACATCCCCAGCTGCTGTATGAAAGCAAACTATACAAGATTCTGCAAGGAGGAGTTGGCATCCCACATATACGGTAGGAATTGTCCATATATGCTCGTGTTGTTACTTTTCTTAATGTTAAGTGTGAGCTGGGATTGTCACTAAGGATACATGATTTAACTTGCGAGAGATCAGTCTGGTCAGCAAAATGCTCCTTGACAAGCTTTACAACTGTGTGGGTTACTTCCCACCCCCTCAAAAAAAAATCCCGAGGCTAAAAAAGAAAAAAAGTATCACTCATATTTTGCTTTGTGGCTGAGATCCTCAGCAGTCCCTGAGATATATGAAATGTTTAAAGTATTTAGAGTGTGAGGCTGTAAGAGCAGATGTACCTGGCAAGGCTGAGAGTTGATACTGGAAATGGCTGCTTTCTTTTGTTGTTTTTTTTTCTTTTTTTTCTTTTCTTTTTTTTTTTTTTTTTTGTTCCAACATGTCTTCCTCCTCCGCTCAGAAAATGGCGGATGGACGTGATTAACCCTCCCCCTTCTCCTGTTGGGACAAGGGACGTGCTCAGGCCTGTATCTTTTCCTTTCATAGTTATGTGCTCTGAGCCTTGAGACTGCAGAGAACCTCAACCCGGGATGAAATGGCAGCCCCTTTCTGTTGCCCACAACAGATGTGTCACTTGGATTTCCCTGCAGTTAAAGTGCCAAGATTAATCCCTCCCAATCGCTTGTTATGTGACTTCCTTCTTTCATATTTTCTTTGAAACTTTCACGTGGCCTTTATTAATTTCCTGTTATAGGGCAAAAAAAATGCTGCTGTTTTGGTGCAACTCTGAGAACTCGCTGTTTCGTATTATTGAACTGTTACACTGAGTAGTTTTAGCCACTGATCTGTGTATAAGAATAGATTAAGTGCAACATAAGTCTTTTCCAGGGAGACTTTAAAAATAATTTGTAGTGAGGTTTAAAAAATACCCACTTGGATAAAGTCAGTATTTCTAATATTTACTCCATGTCATAAAGAAAATGCTTCTTTGAGCTACAGAAGCAATTTTAATTCAGAAATTGAGTTGAACTGTGGATTCTGTGTAGTCTGTTAACCCTTGTCTCACGTTGTAATGTGCGTACCCTTACAGACTGGTATGTATTGTGGGGACATAATGGTTTTCTTAATCTAGACTATATCTTAGTTTTAACAAAGTCTGTAACTTAAACCCTGCGTTTCTCGGTAATAGTTTTTTCCCCACTTTGCAAGCTTGGGTAGCTGTAGCCCTGAATATGTGCTGTATACAGCCAAGGAGACAGGGTTGTCCTGGTTGTGTGTCCCCTTGTCCTCTCCATTCAGTAGAGCCCTGTGCAATAATAGAGTAAATATACCTGTATGAAGCGGATTACTCCTATCTTAAATAGTCCTTCGTGAGAAACTCAGAGTTCGTTTTTTATTTTGTACTGCAATTCCCTGCTTTTTTTTTTTTTTCCAATGAATATTTTTTCCACAACTGTGAGAATGGAAATTGCACATGGGAAAGTCGTCATGCTATAGTTACATGCTGAAATGGGGACAACTGGGAAAATAGCCAAAACAAGTAGATATCTGGTGTTTCAGCATAAAACTGGAAAAACAAGTATTCTTGAACTAAACATTTCTGAAAACTAAACAGCTCTTTGGTGCTATAATGAGGCCTAAGGTGTGGTTCTTCAACTTATGTAACAAATGAAATGATGCTAAAGGTGTGCTGGATTTTAAAGGGTTGTTTTTCTCTCTCTCCCCCTTACTCCCCCCCTTTTTTGACTGTATTGTTCTATATGATTTTGCTTTGTGTGTAACCAGTGCTTCTGGCTTAAAAGTCACAGTGCCACAGAACTGTAGCCTTTTTTTCCTTCAACATACATTTCATGCCAATTAGAGAATTAATAAAAGGTCACCAAAACCTCAATAAGAATAGCTGAAACACTACCTCAGACTAGTCAGATGGATTCTTAGACTTTGTGTTTTAAAGATGCATAAGTTGTTTGATAATATGAAGGAGTCATGAAAATTTTCCCTTTCAGATTCTCACAGTGCTAGTCTCTTTGGGTATTTGCCTAGAAAATTAGCTTTCGCCATGTATTTGGAAATACCTGTTTGGTTTTAGGAAACTGCTTTGATTTAAATCTATTTGTATATACCACACACTGCTTAAACAGGTTTTTTGACTTTGCTTCTGTTACTAGTTGCCTAGTATACCATCAGTTGGTACTTGATGAAATTTAGAGTGGTATTTTTATATTTTCTCTCCTCTTGACAAGGAAGCTGAGCTTCTCAGCACAGCTTTTTGGACAGACATTAAAGCATGATGTGTTGGATAGAATTGGAATCTGTGCTATTCTGAGTCTAAGGGGGGCAGCTGGGCTTACAAAGAGATGTGTCACTTGGTGCTTAGCAAGGATATGTCTTTGAATAGGTTATTACTCCAAAGTCAAATTACTGTGCGTATTGTTCCAGACAGCTCAAGCTTTTCTGACATGCGTTGTTAGCAGAAACTAGGCTTGGAAAATGTATGACTTTGTCCTTAGGTCACTTTGCATACGTAATTGATAATACGCATTCTGCTGCCGTTTTGTAATGGCAGGCTGACCAGTCAGGATGAGTTGTTCTTGGCTCGGTATGTTTAGAAAGACAAATGGGGATGAATGAAATTTGTTCACTTTCAGCAAATTTGTTAAAACCTCTCTAAAGTGATGCCCTTAAATAGCAGCAGCATCCAATAAGTAGGTCATTTGATAATTAAGAAATTGTCCTGACTTTTGCCATTGCCATGCTACATAAGCTGGGACCAGCAGCGTTTTTATCAGTTCTGCAGATTTCGGAAACAGAGACATATAATACTACACTTCACATTTGAGGATTATTTACTTGGTCTTGAGTTTCTATCTACATTAGTAATGCAGTGGCTAATGCTGACTTACTAGAAGTTGCATTATGTGCCTTTACATAGTGCTTTGTCTGCTGTAGTTCTTTGGCTTAGGAAACCAGAAGAAAAGTTATGGATTGTTCCTTCAGATACCTGTTCTTAAAACTAGTTTCTTCTGCCTTTTATATGTGATTTCAAACTCAATAAGTATCTCAAGTGTTTCTTTCAATTATCTAAAATTAAGCAAAAGTTGTTCTTATTTTTTCTGTTTGTTTTGGTAGCTTTTAAGGTTAATTTTAGCAGATTCTAAGAAGGATAATGAATTAAAAATTTTTTGAGAGAAAAGCTATTTTTAAATTGCTTCTGTGATTAACTGAGTTGAGGGAGAACAAAGGGATTTGGTAATATCACTGTAGCAGAAAACTTTTTTTTAAAATTAAACTCTATATCCAAACAGAGTGTCTTAATTCTCCAATAGTGGTAACCCTTTAGGATTAGGAAAGAAATTGTCGACCTTCCTGCTTACAGGAATAGTAGGAAAGACTTTGAACTTGTTTCAAAAGTTTCATCAGAATTCATAAAAACATAGTTGTATGTTCTTGATGTGTAAATTTAGTTTATACTATTACCTTCATTTTTGACAAAAAAACTCTTGAACCCAGCTTAACAACTGAGGGCCTGATCGGCCTTTAGGACACCATGCAAAGTCCACACTATTCTGGTAGGCTTACTCGTATTGTTCTGAGTTGTCAGCTGCCCCTTTTTTGTAGGCAAAGCATTTTTGGCTGTAGTAGTCTTTTTAACCGGGCATGGATCCCATGAGTTTAGAATATTTGCCCTTGTAGCCAGATTCTTGGTTCTGTCTTGGAGTGAAGTGGTGTCTGTTTGTGTAGTCATCTTGTGTATTGTTTTTAGTGCAATTCTGTAAAAGCACTCTTGACAAGGAATTGTTTGATTAATTATCTGACAGTCAATCTTGGTTTTTGTTGTTTGTAGTGTTTAACAGCTGTTGTATCCTTTATGGAGAGAGCTTCTAGTTATCCGCTCAGATGTAGCTTTCTTTTAAAAGCAAAGTTGGATTTGGAGATGTTTCTCCTAAAGTCTTTTGGGAGAATTAATCTTGTAACCTGTTTCCCCATTGAAATGGGTGATGCTCTAATATAAAAGTTATATATTTATATAAATTAATGCAATATATAAAGTTGCATTGAAGGGCAGGTAAAAGGTGTAGTGAACGTAAGACAGGTAGTGTTTGTACTCTTACATAGCTAAGGCTGATTTAATTGTATATGGTATACCTGATTGCATTGAGGTGATATTAGAACTTTCTCATTTGTAAGGTTAAAAACTGAAACTACTGAGTGTTTTTTTAAAAAACATTCTTTTGCAACATTAAATCCATCCTTATGCATCAGACTTATGCATTTTCAATGTAGTAACTTACTGTAAAATATTTGAAGTTGGGAAACTTGTATCACTTAATCTTCTCAGTAGTGCATTAAGTCGCTGGTGAGAAGACAAGATACACATTTAAAATATTTTTATCCTTATTGTCACTTCATGCAGTATTGTTGGATATGCCATTAGTAGCAGCTTACCTGTATTCATTGAGTAGTGTGCACAGTGGGAAAACATGGTCAAATTTGGTGGGTTGTTTTCACACTGGAGTTTTATTTCAATACTTCAATTCTTGATTTTTTTCTTAAGCGTTGCTTAAAAATCTGTAATTAAACCTCTCAGACATTAAAATCTGTCTTTATTTCATTGGTAATATGGATACTTTCATCCAAGCATGCAAAGTAGTCAGGAGGAAGGTTCTAGCAGTGGAGCCTCCTATTAATTAACCTTCTATTATTAATTAAGGCTGCATGCTAAAGGATAGAACCACTGTACTGGATAACAGGAAGACTCTTGTGGCTCAAAGCAGAGCTGAATGCTTATCTTGAAAATGAATCTAAGATTTTCTAGGAGGACAGACATTCCTAAACAAAATCCTAATGTTTTGTAACAGTCTGAAGTCCTGTCTTAATTGGTCCTCACAACTCCTTAGAAACAGCCAAGATAGAGCATAACTTTAAAACAAATGAAGCTGTTCTTTTTCTGATTCCCTTGCCTCAGCTGAACCTTTGCAGAAACGTGAACGTACGCACTTTCAGTTCGGCATTAATCTGGAGGAGATGGTCAGCTGCAGAAGC